TGTGTTTTTGCAAAAATGAAGCGTTCTCTCAGATTCCAACTTCAAATAGGAGTGCGGGTTGAATTCTAGAAAATGTAGGGGCTTTTCTTCAAAAACTCCGATGACGTACGACCAGAAACCGTAGCTGCTTTATTATTAGGTAGAGATAATATGGCTGCATGCATCGATTTATGCAGAGGCCGGGGGTATTCCTCCTTTTCAAAAAAAAGTCCAATAGCTATATACGTGTGGTGTTTCGTACGGGAAGATTGTGAGGGATTTTGATTTGGTTTTCTTTGCTGGTACACTTCTGTGTATGCATGGCATTGGTTACGGTGAAGGCTTGAGGAGTCTAGAGCATGCCGTACAGCCGGAAAAGCTTTGGCTGGGTCGGACTAACCAGTCTGATGAATCGATGTGAGTCGGTTGGACCGGAGGACGGTTGCGGGATCGGCAACAGCGACATAGGAGCGTGATGGGGTGACCGACTTCTGGGGCATGGAAACACGTGACGCATGCCTGAGGGCTTGTGTGGCTTTGACAAGACTATGGCACGGGATTGATTCAAGATGTTGTACACATGGACCTTGAAGTCGATGGGGCGCAAGGGGGTGGATTGATCATCTACCATGGAATCATATTGAAGGTGGAACTGGAGTCTGAAAAACTTCACTCGATGCTGATTGAGGTGCTACGGCGTAATGAGAAGCACACAACTTCACAATGCAATGCTCGTAGGTTATTTGTCCAAAAGAGAAATGTGCCTGTCGCTAGCATGAGCATGCCGAAAGTGAGGTCGTGCTATGCCACCAGGTGTGATGATTCTAATGCGGTGCCATCACTTTCAAACTTTCATATGTTGCGTGTTCTAGCCATGGAAGGTTGCTACTTTGGGAGAGACAATCCTTACCATCTTGGGAGGTTACCACAGTTGAGATACCTGAGCACACACATTAGTAAGCTCCCAGAAGAAATAGGAGATCTAAAGTTTCTGCAGACACTGGACTTGAGGGGCACTGATATAAGAGAGTTACCACAGAGTATTTGTTTGCTAAGGAAACTCAAGTGTCTGCATGCTCATTTAACAGTGTCGAATTGGATAGGGAACCTCACATCCTTGGAAGAGCTACATTTGACTACTGCGGACAAATCTTGTATCTTCGTGAAAGAGCTCAGCAACCTGACAGAGCTGAGGGTGCTGATCTGATATCTTTTGGTATCGATGCATATGTACCATAGATCTGATGTAATTAAGTCTTGTGAGTACTTTGAATGAGTACTCACGTTTGCTTTGCTATTCTTTTCCTTCAATCCGGTTTCTGCTATCAGATGGTAGCCCCTCGGATGCAGGTATTCCCGATGTTGGTTACTATCTAGAGTTCGACGTCGACGAGTAGTTCGAAAGTCCCAGGCAGGAAGCCTCCGCCTTTTGGGTAGGGTCGTCGTTTTGTTTCAGCCTTCTTAAGGCATCCTTGTATTTTGTCTATAGTCAGTCATAATTTGCTTTCTGTTATGATGTATTGCCGGGTCCTCGCAACCCCTGTTTGTAATATATATTTTGTTTTCTGTTTAATTTGAGTCGTAGAGTTGTGTTGTGGTACTACCGTGGAGTCACCGTTCGTGAACGTGCATGTTGTGTGTATGATTAGTGCACGATTATGATCAGGGGTGTCACACCGCCGCCATGAGTGATGGTGGTGGTGGCGCTTTGGCGGCAGAGTCCCTCGTGGAGCGGTCGGGGTCATCGGTGATGAGGGACATGGAGAGATGGGGAGCTGATGTCCTCATTCATCGAGACGAAGTTGGACACCGATGAACCGAAAGGGTGCTTATAATAATTAGTGTTGTACGCCTGGAGTTGATGATCCTGGCCAACAATCCTACCATCCTCTCGCTCCAACAGAAAGATTCTTTTCTTCCGATGTCTTCAATTTCCATATTGTTATCTCCCTCCTGGACATGCCGAACATTTGCGTCTTGGGACCATTTGATTTCCTCCTCACGTATCAGTTTGGCAAGACTCTCGTCCACCTCCCTCTTCGCGGCACATTTAGCTGAGCAGAGAGGAGCGGTTTCAAATATATATAGGTATTATTCATTGCAAACTTGACCAAAAATAACCTAAATATTATTACTAGTCGCACGAGTTGGTTCATGTAATTGTAGTTCTTACGAGTATGTACTGGTACTTTGGTTTGCTCGGGTTAGAGCATCTTCAGCCGCGCCCCCAACAGGCCCTCCCTAGGCAATTTTTTCGCGCCGACGCCAAATAAACGCTCAAGTCTCGCCCTCAAGACGCCGAATTCCACCGTCTCGGCCCGTTTTTGGGTCCGGCGATCGTAGGCCGAACCCGGCGCACTGGGGGGCGCTCGGGGCTCTGGCGCAAGGGAAAAGCGCACCTAAGGCCACACTGCTAAGCGAAAAGTCAAGC